CAGCGGTTCGAGTCCAGCCTGAGCTGAGCAGCCGCTGAGCTGCCAACAGGTAGCAGGATGGCTCAGCTAAAAAAAAAAAAAAAAAAAGAATTCAACCAATCCTACAGGCCTGAATTAATTCTTCCTTTTGCAATGATAAACATAAACTTGGACTTTTAGGAAACTGATCAGGCTGGAAGGTGTAAGGGATGAGCTGAATTCATAAAGTTTATGAGCCCACCTAGTTGAATTCTAGGATCCTAACTTCCTTTTCAAAAATCTCTATGGTTGCTGTGTCCCTGATATAGATATATATAGATATAGATAGATGTTAGATAGATAGATAGATAGATAGATAGATAGATAGATAGATAGATGCTAGATAGATCCACCATTTTAGAAAACATGTGTCACTGGGTCTTCATGTACAGGTGCTGGGTGGCAGCCATCTTTTTCTTGTTCTTTTCTTTTTCCCAAATAAAACCGTTTTGACAATGAACTATCTAGTCAATATTATTTGTCAGCTGACAGCATTTAGATAGACTGTGTTTTCCATACCAGTTTTATATGTTCTTGTATAGTTTCAAAAACTATAAATACATTGAAATTAGAATATGAGATATTGGGAATCAAAAATAACACAGGGGACAAAACCCATGGGATGAGGTAGTCAATGAGGTAGCTTATGTGCACATCACCCCATCGCAACCTCTCCAGAGGCAAGCTCCGGAAGCCACAGGCTGCCACTGCAAAGCCTCCCCAAGATCATATGGTCCTCATGGTCCAACAATCAAGTTTGAAATAGCAACCTAAACCAAACCAAGCTGGGTTGTTGGATCCAAAAGAAGCCCAAATGTCTTCTGTCATAGAATTTCTGTGGACGTCAGCTCCTGATCCTGGGGAACAGCGGTGCTGGGCTGGGGATGTGGTTCCCTCACAGCAGCAGAGTGATGTTTGGAGATTAATATTGAAAGCTGCACTTGGCCTGGATATCATCAAGAATTCACTGTAGCTCATAATCTTCAAACTGCCCCTCTGGCTTGCAATCAGAGCCTTGGGCTTCTGAGGAGCCTCCGGACAAAGGCTGGCCAAACAGGCCTCCTCCAACTTATGAAGCTTCTTCTGAAGCAACCAGCTACCGACACCGCCAATGGTCTCTGTATCTGACACAAATAAACGGGCTGTGTACTTCCTTTTTTTTTTTTT